GTGTATCATTTTCACAACTTCCTGTGAGCCTGTAATTATTTTAAAATAATAAGTTTCAAAATTATAATAGGCAACAATAACCAAATCTCAGTCTTTTTTTTCAGAAATGAAAGAAGTTGTGGTCATGGGGCAAGCAGGTCATACTAATTAGCTTTGTCCTAAAGGTAGAATAAATGGTTTTTCTTAAAAGTGACCCAAGCCGTGGCCCATTTTCCCCATATACCAAAAGGTTGTGGGTTTGATTTCCAGTCAGGGCACATACCTAGGTTTTGGATTCGATCCCTAGTCAGGGCATAGGTGGGAGGCAAATGATCTCTCTCTCTCTTTTTCTCTCTCTCTAAAATCAACAAACATATATATCCTGGGTGAGGATTTAAAAAAAAGAAAAATAGTGTGCCTAACCTTGCAGTCCGTGCCTCTGATTTAGATGTTAGGCACTTATTAGTTGAAGATATGTTTAATGTGTTCGCACTGCAAAAGGAACATATAAACTTTCATAAAAGGTATGTAAGTGCATCTAGTAGATCTACAGGCTAACAGCTCCTCATGTGAAGTTGCACCTTTGTCTGTCTATGCTGTTAATGTCTGGGTTCACCAAGTATTTGCCCATGAACTTGCTTCAGGCCATTTATAGAACTGAATTCTTCCATATAGCATCATTATTATTTTTTAAAAATTTACTTACTACATGTACATCACAGGAAGCTTTGGAAATACAGATAAAGAGTATTTCCCACCACCCAGAAGTAAACACTGTTGATATTTGGTATATATAATTGCAGTCTTTTTATCTCTGTGCATATAAATGCTTTTTAAAAAATATCTGAAATCATAATTTTAGTATACTTGTTTTACTTACTGATGTGTGCATAAAACTGCAACATTTCCCCACGTCATTAAATGCTTTTTTTACTATATGCTTTTAATGACTATATAGAACTGTACCCTATTGATGTACAAACCTTAACCAATCACCTATGATTGGACATTTAGGCCTTTCCAGTTTTCCACCATTAGAAACAATGTCGTGATCAACATCTTTAAGGCTAAATCTTCATGCATAGTCATGATTATTTTCCTTAAGATAAAGTCTCAGAAGTAGAGTTGCTAGATAGGCAGAATGTTAAAGCTTTGATTTATATTGCCAAAGATAAGCATCATTTAAAAGTAAATATGAACAAAACCTTATTTGAACAGCGAGATGCTTTACCTGAAGGGAAATTTAGAATCAATTTCTTTAAGTTAATGAATTCTTCCCTCCTTAGAGACAAATTGCCATTACAAAATAGACATATTTCTTTGACAGAATTACAAGAAAAATGTTACCCTGACTGAGTAGCTCAGTTGGGCGGAGTGTCATCCCATGCACCAAAAGGTTGCCGGTTCAAATCCCAGTCAGGGCACATACCTAGGGTGTGAGTTCGATCCCGGTCAGGGTGCTTATGGGAGGCAATGGGTCGATGTTTCTCTCTCTCTTTTTTCCTGTCTTTCTAAAAAATCAATAGAAATATGTCCTCAGGTGAGGAATGAAAGAGCAAAATGTTGAAGATACAGTTGACACTTGAACAACACAGGTTTGAACTGGGCTGGTCCACTTATGTCCAAATTTTTTTCATAAATACATATAGTACTATAAATGTATTTTTTCTTCCTTATGATTTGCTTTCTTTAAAATATGTTTTTATTGATTTCAGAGAGAGGAAGGGAAAGGCAGAGAGAGAGAGAAACATCAATGATGAGAGAGAGTCACTGATCTGCTGCCTCCTGCATGCCCCCTACTGGGAATCGAGCCCGAAACCGGGGCATGTGCCCTGACTGGGAATCAAATCATGACCTCCTGACTCATAGGTTTACATTCAACCACTGAGCCAGCTGGCCAGACTTCCTTATGATTTCTTAATAGCATTTTCTTTTTTCTAGGTTAGTTTATTATAAGAATATAGTATGTAATACAAATAACATACAAAAGACGTGTTATTCAATGTTTATGTTATTAGTATGGCTTCCAGTCAGCAGTAGGCTATTAGTAGTTGTTTTGGGGGAGTTAAAAGTTATATGTGGGTTTTTGAGTGTGTGTGGGGTGGCATCCCATCTCCACATCGTTCAAGGCTCAACTGTATCTAAATAAAGAAGTTATGGAAGAATTTTTGCTATTTTTTATCTCTGTTAAAGAGTGAGAGCAAAATAATTTACTGGAGTAAAAAGATAGCAAATGGAATGAACATACCACTAGTGGGGAATGGGGTGTTTAAATTTACCCCTTCTCCCATTTGATATGATTAAAATATATTTTTAGTGACCTATTTTTTAAGTATTATGTGTATATATATACTACCATTTTTACATACAATGAAGGAGTAAAACAATTTAAGGGTAAAATGTACTATATAGTCATAATGTTGCAGAATTGTTGTGTTTTTCTTTTTTTAAATTTATCTTTATTGTTGAAATACAGATCTCTCTCATTTTTCCGCCATTGGCCCCCTTTACGCCACTCTCCGCATCCCCAGGCCTTCAGTGCACTATTGTCGGTGTCCATGGGTTAAGCGTATAGGCATAGAAGTTCTTTGGTTAATCTCTTCCTTCCTCCCTTCCCTCTGAGATTTGTCAGTCTGTTCCTTACTTCTGTTTCTCTGGATCTATTTTGTTCATCAGTTTATGTTGCTCATTAGATTCCACATATAAGTGAGATCATATGATACTTGTCTTTCTCTGACTGGCTTATTTCACTTAGTATAATACTCTCCAGATCCCTCCATGCTGTCTCAAAGGGTAAGAGTTCCTTCTTTATTACAGCTGCATAGTATGCTATTGTGTAAATGTACCACAGCTTTTTTTTTATCCACTCACCTACTGATTTTTCTAGTTGTAAATGTTCTGTCTGTGGGTGTGAGGGGACGTGTTTCTGGGTTAAATATCAACTTTGATTAGGCGTCTCTAGTATTCCCCTGGAGCACCTCTGTTGTATCTTTTTCTGCATTTCTAACTGGGTTGTTACGTAATCATCAACAAACAATGTGCTCTTTCTCATTAAGAAGCTAAATTCTTAACACGCTTTCTTTAGTTTATCAAGTCAGGCTCCATCTTGTGGTGCCACCTTCAAATAATGGTGACCATTGTTTTCAGCCTTAACTTCTTCCTAGGACTTTTCATTGGTCCCCACTTCATCGGAAGGTGCTAGATTGACACAGAAGGAACACAGGTCATACCAGGAAGGGTGGAAACAAGGCTTGGATAATTTTTAAATATAAAACCTGAACTTTTAAGTAAGTAAAATGTGTATTATCTACAGGTTTTAAAAATTATCTTTCAGTGACAATCAATGAGTCTACCCTAGCAAGCAAGATATTTTATTCCTAGATTGATTTCCCACACTGTGAAGTGTTTAAGTGTTTAGATATTGGAAAAGTAACGAGAAATCTGTGAGTGTCTGACATTTTTTTCTTCTTACTCATAAACATACCATTTTATACTGTGCATATGGTGGTGAAATTTTGTTTGAATGTAATATATGAAATCAGGATTGCAAAGATCTCCCTTTCAATTCTGTGTTGGTATTTTCTATGATTATTTGTATTTTATCAATGTCATAGAAATTTCCCTCGAAGAGAAATTCCTCATGCTGGAATTGATAGTAAATACTTGTTATTGGATGAGTGATTGGTTTTGTTTTATGAAAGTATTTTTTTCTGCTTCTGTCTGTTGGCTAGTTGTGGGACTTCCCTTTCCATTTCTACTGTAATATAATTCTAAATTGAAAACAGCTCTGGCCCAGCTGGGCGTGGCTCAGCGGTTGAGCATCGACCTGGAATCCAGGAGACTGCAGTTCGATTTCCAGTCGGGGCACATTCCCGGGTTGCGGGCTCGATCCCCAGTTGCGGGTGTGCGGGGGGCAGCCGATCAATGACGACTCTCTCATCATTGATGTTTCAACTCTCTTCTCTTCCTTCCTCTCTTTGAGATCAATAAAGATATATTAAAAAGAAAAACAAACAAACAAACAAAAACAGCTCTGTAAAGAAACTTTCAAGGAATTCCAGGTGTTGTGGTTCTCTAACCCAGAATGAATTTTGCAGCACTGGGAATGGCATATTTTTACCTGGTTTGAATTAAAAATGTATTTCTATGTCGTAGTATAAATTTGGTTGAATATTACTATTCTAGTAAGAAATAGAATCATAATTTAAAAACAGATGTTTCCTCCTGAAGGACAACTCTCTGAATTTATCTAGTCTCAGCTAGTAAAAGTACCCTACTTTTACTTCTCTGCAAACTCATTATTTTAACCTATTACCCTCCATCTGAGATTTTCTACACAAACTGAGAGGAAGTTATTCTGGGAAACAAATTAGGGTTTATATGAAAGGGGATTGAATAAACAAAAATTGTACAGTTTTCTAACAACTTCATATATATCCTTATATATATAAAGATTTACCATAAAGGTTTTATATATATAATACGTTACATTTTTAACTGAATATGAACTTCTTGAAATTTAATTCAAAAAAGTATAGTTTAAGTTTTGGTGGTATTTTTTTTTTTTTAATCCAGATAATACTTTTTTCTTCACATTGGTATTTCATAGGTCTATTGAGAAATTTTTATAAGTAACAGAGAGGTCGTATTTGCCTTTCATGATATCAAGGGTATTCATGTAATATTTAAATTGATATATTTATAGCTATTCTCTGCTGAAGTAAACTTAACAGATGAAAATACATATTTCAAAATAGAATGACTGTTAAAGAGTCATCTTTAAACATGAATTGTTTAAAGATAGTGGATTTTAAACATGAATTGTTCACAAAAATATAAATTTACCCTTAGTTTGGATGTACCACCCTGATACATAAGGAATAGCTGTGTACTGTGTACATTAAAATATTCTTAATTTATGCCTTATTAGACTTACTTGATTAAAATACTAGCTTATTAAAAATCATTGCTCCTTGTTTCTGTAAACTTACAGGAGTTCCTACTTTCTTTTTCTTTAACAGACATAAGCTTACCAAAGTCGGCAACAATATGCTACACAGCTGCCTTGCTCAAAGCAAGAGCTGTCTCCGACAAGTAAGTGAATCAATAGCTTATGCGGTTCTAAATGCCTGACCCAACTTAGGATGTGTTGCTTCTGAGAGTTTCTCTGGAAGTCTCTTATTCTGAGACGCCTGCTTATGAGCATGCATTTTCCAAAATCTGCTGATCTTTTCTTTCACTACTAGCAGGAGAGAATGCATACCCCGAGGAATTGCAGGGGTGTATGTATCCCTAAAGAGGGATTTATATAAAATTCCATGCCTCTGAGGTGAATTTCTTTTTTCTTTTTTTTTCTTTTTTTGCCAGATAATAGATACCAAAAGGCCTGCTTGGGACTTAAAACAAAATGCCTTTCTTTTATTCTTTTTTTTTGCATATTCCTCTTCCTTCAGCAGCCCAAGACTGGGTAGCAATATGTAATATGGCAGAGGGGATGGTCATCTCCCATTGTTTGCCTCATCTATTCCAAACTAACTCCCCATCCAGGGTCTGTTTACTTTGAGTCACCATTTCAATGGCACAGTTGCCCACTTTACTCAGGCAGGTGACTGTGGCATAGAGAATAGATGGTTTAACTGTTTTTCAGTTCAGAAACACTTACACTTCCCAGATACACTCCCTTGGTAGCGTTGAAAATCAGGTAACAGGAAAAGAAAATAGCCTCTGCTATGTCAGACAGGTTTGCTGTTAAGTGTGTGTGCACTTCAAGACCGAAGTAATTGTCTTTCATTCTTTTTTATCCTGTAGATCGCCAGTACCTACTGCAACATCTTTTCTCCCTACACAGCGACTCCAGCTTGGGAGGGCAGGGCCAGGGTTGTCACAGCTTCCCCTGTGGTGTCTGCCTGCCAAGCACAGCTCTGGAGTTAGCCCTGGGTGTGAGGTGAGAAAGAGATTGCATGGTCTGGTTTTTTTCATTCAGTTGGGCAAGTGTCTCGCCCACAGTTTGGGCATGCACACCTCCTGCCGAAACAGCCCCAAGCAGGCTCTCCTGCTGCTGCTGAAGCTTCAACAACTTAACTTTCCACGGCAGCACTGACTTTGGGTTAGGAGCCTCCTTTAAAATTCTCCCCAGTTTTGTTTTTAACCCAGTGTGCTCTTCTGTAACCTAGTTTTCTCTTTTTCCTACACTGTCTGCCCTCTTCAGTCCTATCCCCTCCCCTGACCTAAGCAAGTACCCCATAGAAAATTTAGACTAGTTAGACAGACTTGACAGCTGAATTTAATTCCTGCCACAATTAGATGCAAACATGCTTTCTGCTTCTGCTGGGGTTTTTCTTGGCCTCGGTCTGAGGGATCACTCAGAGGTTTCATGTAGTGGAGGTTTGGAAGGTAATGGCTCACTATGGTTTTATGGGCCCTGGATGTATAGATACATCTCTGGGTTGATGCCCAAGCAGTGGTCCCAATTGGATGGTGCTTGTCTTTCTGCTTTTCAGATTCTCTCCCGAGGCTGCATCTCGACGGGGGCTGAGCACAGCAGAGATGAACGCAGTCGAAGCCATTCATAGAGCTGTGGAATTCAATCCTCACGTGCCAAAAGTGAGTATGTGGAATCCCCACAGGAACCCGTTATAATAACAGAGAAAATGTTCCATGACCACAGTATCATGTCTTGAATGCAAACAGTTATAAAAAAAATGAATTGCAACCAACGATTGTTGAGGCCCTGTATAGTCTACGATTATTAACCTCATTTTTAAGTAAAGTTGCATTCAAGAGACTTTGGGGCTGGTTTTCAGCCTTCATATAATAATGGTAAGTTGATAGACCTGGCTTACGCAGGCCAGGTCAAGAAGTCTGAAATTGGCAAAATATGGAGATCTCGAGTATTGATGTATTTGACAGGAATTTCATACCAGGTTTTAGTCTTACTTAGACCCAATTTAGGAAATGAAACTTATTGTGAATAAAGGTGGTAAAAAATACTTACCAATGTGACCTATGTCTCTATAAATAAATGATAATTCATGTTGGCAAGAAAATAATAGAGAAAACCTCAAAGTATGAAGAAGTATTTTTCGTTTGATTTGTGAGTGCCATTTTAGTAGGTATATGCAGTAGGAAATATTTGTCTTAATTATTATCCACATAATTGACCAATTTATAACTACCCATTATAAATACCAATTTAATATTTCTAATATGTTTTCTCTGAATTTGATTTTAAGGGAGTCAGTCATGGTAGAAATATAGAGATATTTCTATAATCTTTTATTCAGCAGATGGATCTATATTTATGATTTACCTGTATTTGAGATTTGAGTACCTACTACGTGATAGGCACATCACTTAACATTTTCAGGTTTTTTATATGTAAAAACTGTAAAGAACCTTTTGGCCTTTAGGAAACTATTACTGCAGCTCCTATTAGGTACTGCAAGGTAGAATTTTTTTGGCAAAATGTCTTATGAAGACTTTTATTGGTGAAAAATGACAAAAGAAGGCTGTTTTCTTGTTTTGTTGTAATATTGTAGCAAAAGAGTGGTATGGTGTGTGTGTGTGATTATGTAGTAACCTATTTTAATTTATTTTGTGGATATCCAGAGTGACAGAGATAAATGATCTAATATCATTTCTGAGGTTTTACTCAGGTCATGATTATCTTTTCACAAAACAGGAAACTGAAGAGTGGTGCACAGTGTCACAGTTACAGAAGGCTGTAGTTATCCACTCTAGTTCCAGTGTGAAATGACCAACATAGTATCTGTAGACTTAGGTATTGTATGTAGAGTGGTATAAAATAGATCTCTTTATTTAATATTTTTCAGCTAAGTTAAAAATGTTCAAATTTTATTAAAATTTCAAATTATTTATGAAAATATCGTCCTGAATTACAGTAAACTGAAGTCATCAATGAATATTTATTGAATGCCATTCTCTAACTACAGAGCTATCCTATGAACATAAATAAGGCTCTTTTAGAAGTAGAATTGGGCAGTAGAGTCCTATATTCTGAGACAAAAACTTTCAAGTTCTGTCTCTTCCTTATTAGCCATGGGACTTGGGTTTAGCATCTCTGAACTAAGAATTTCATCTTTCAAATGAAGATAAAATATAAGCCTTACCTATCTTCTGTGATAAAGGTAAGGTGAGGTAATATAGGGAAAGTTTTTGAAAATACTTGAGTACTATATGTTTGCAAATTATTAAAATTGTTAATGTTTGACTTGTTGGGGGCCCATTAAGTCTGAGAACCAGGTCGTAACTTTTCTAGTTATACCAACCAGAGATTTATAATCCTGGGGCATAAGATAGAAAACTGATGTAACACCTGTTGGTGAGATATTTTAACTAAAGCTGTCGTCTAATTCTTGGTAATGGCCTTAAATGTTCGTTCAGCCTCTATAAGAGTATTAAAAGCCCTAAGAAACAGTATAAGGCTAGCTACCATGGAATAATATGACTCAGTCAACTAGCACTCTCCCTGCAAAACAGAATTCTTCTAAAAGTAGAAACATTTTAAATATTTGATTTCACTCTATTTTCTAATCGTCAAATGGAGAAAAGATAGGGTATACAGGTAAACTGATTCTCCACCACTTTTATTTGTTGGTGATTGTGCTGAGGGGGAACATTTTCCAGATCATCTTTCAACATTTCCGTGGAGAAAAGGGCCTGTGAATACTGGCCTTATATATTCAGAATTAACTGCAAACCTCTGGTACATGTATATGCAGCCTGCTATAAACATCTTTTGTTTGTTTGTTTGTTTTTTGTTTTTAAATTTAACTTCACTGTTGAAAGTATTACAGGTTTCCCATTTTTTCCCTGCCATTGACCTCCTCCACCTCCTTTCCACTCCTTCCCAGGCCTTCACCCCATTATTGTCTGTATCCATGGGTTATGCATATATACAGATAAATTCTTTGGTTAATCTCTTCCCACTCCCTACCCTCCTTCTCTCTTCCCTCTGAGATACCACTCTCTGTTGCCTATTTCAATGTCTCTGGGTCTATTTTGTCAGTTTGTTTTTTTCATTAGCTTCTTCTTAAAGAAGACTCTTCAGCATTTCATGTAGTACTGGTTTGGTGGTGATGAACTCCTTTAGCTTTTTCTTATCTGTGAAGCTCTTTATCTGACCTTCAGTTCTAAGCGATAGCTTTGCTGAGTAGAGTAATCTTGGTTGTAGGTTCTTGCTTTACATCACTTTGAATATTTGTTGCCACTCCCTTCTGGCCTGCAAGGTTTCTGTTGAGAAATCAGCGAACAATTGTATGAGTGCTCTCTTATAGGTAAGTAACTGCTTTTCTCTTGCTGTTTTTAAGATTCTCTCATTGTCTTTAACCTTTGGCATTTTATTATGATGTGTCTTGGTGTGGGCCTCTTTGGGTTCCTCTTGTTTGGGGGACTCTGTGCTTCCTGGACTTGTAAGTCTATTTCTTCCACTAGGTAGGGGAAGTTTTCTGTCATTATTTTTTCAAATAGGTTTTCAATTTCTTGCTCTCTTTCTTCACCTTCTGGCATCCCCATAATGCAAATGTTGGCATGCTTAAGTTGTCCCAGAGACTCCATACACTATCTTCATATTCTGGATTCTTTTTGTTTTGCACTTCTTATTGGGTATTTTTTGCTTCTTCATATTCCAAATTGCAGATTTGATTCTCAGCATCCTCTATTCTACTGTTGATTCCCTGTAAATTATTCTTCCTTTCAGTTAGTGTATCCTTACTTTCTGACTGGTTCTTTATTATGTCACTGATGACCTCACTAGTTTCCTAAATAGTCTTACTAAGATCCTTTAGCATACTTATAACCATTGTTTCGAATTCTGTATCTTGTAGCTTGTTTCGCTCCATTTCATTTAGTTCTTTTTCTGGAGTTTCTTTTGTTCTTGATCTTGTGACATGCTTCTTTGCCTCCACATTTTGGCTGCTTCCTGGTGTATGTTTCTATGTATTAGGTAGAACTTCTATGTCTCCTGGAATTGGTAGAGTGACTTTGTGTAGTAGGTGTCCTGTAGGGTCCAGTGGCACAGCCTCCCCAGGCACCTGAGCTGGGCCTTCTAGATGCTCCCCTATGTGGGCTGTGTGCACTGTTCTGTTGTAGTTGAGCCTTGTTGCTATTGCTATCACTGGGAGGAATTGACCCCCAGGCCAGTCAGCTGTGAGGATCAACTGCAACTACCGCCAAAGAGCTGCTGTGCTGGAGAATCCTCTATGGAGCAGGATTTACTTCCATGGAGCTTTGGTGTTCACCAAGTACGCCCCTTGAGTGTGTCACTCGTGGATGTGGTAGGGTTGTAATCCGGTGTTGTCGAAGCTAACCACCAGGTGCACTGTTTCTGGGCCTCACGGGCGGATCAAAGTCAGCCTCTGTCTGTGCCTTGCCCAGGGCCACCCAGCATGAGCTACACAGCAAACGGTAGTTGGCTGCTACTTGTACTGGTCTTGGAGGTCCAGGAGAGGCCAAGCTATGAACCACTGGAGGCTGCCGTTAGTGCTGTGCCTGGAGCCACTTATCAATATGTATGGGGAACACTGAGGCCAGCCACTGCTTATTTGAGAGATTTTGAGAGGCCATTTGCATAGAAAAGCCACTGGAAATGGCTTGGATGAGCTTGCAGGTAGGGTAGGGCCAAAGTTGTGAGTCAGGTGCTAGAGATTCAAATATGGCACCTGCATACTGGCTCTATGGGCGGAGGGCTTACCAAAGGAATAATGGCCTCTGCCAGCTCTTCTGTCTGGGAGAAAGCTGCCCCTCCACCTCTCACCCCGATTTCAGGCAAATTAGTTCCTCCTCAAATGTCCCAGGTTCCTTTTAAGCTGTTGCCTTGCGCTGGAGCTCAGAGGGAGCGTGTCTGAGTGAGTTCATGTGTTGGCCATTTAAGAGGAGCTGCCTGGGACTTCCTCAGCCTCTGTTGTCACTCAGCCACAGTCCCTTATTGCTTTTCACAGCCTGAAGTTCTGGGGACTTCTCTTCACATCCCTGGAAACCTGGGCTGGGGGGCCTGTTGAGGGGCTGGGATCCATCACTCCTCTGGGAAAACACCACCACTGAGATAGCCGCCCGATTGATTTTTTTGTTTTTTGTGTTGTTTTTTTCTTTTTAAGTGCAAGCTTCATGTTTTTATTTTTTTATTTATTTTTAACTTATTTTATTTTTTTATTTACTATTTTATTTTTTTAATTTTATTTTTGTTTAAAATATTACACATGTCCTTTTTTCTCCCCAATGACACCTTCCACCTCGTCCCTTCCCCCTCCCCAGTCCTTCTCCCCACCATTGTCCCTAACCTTGGGTTGTGCATATATGCATATANCCTTCCCCCTCCCCAGTCCCTCTCCCCACCATTGTCCGTGTCCTTGGGTTGTGCATATATGCATATAAATTCTTTGGTTACTCTCTCCCCCTCCACCCACCCACCCTCCTCCATCCCTCTGACATTCTTCAGTCTCATCTATGCTTCCATGTCATTGAATCTATTTAGTTCATCAGATTATTAAGTTCTTTAGATTCTACCTATAAGCGAGATCATGTGATGTTTGTCTTTCGCTAACTGGCTTATTTCACTTAGCATAATTTTCTCCAGGTCCATCCATACTGTCCCAAAGGGTACAAGATTATTCTTCTTTACA